ACCGACTGCAGCGAGGCTGTGCCCCTGGAGGCTTTCCTCCTATGGGGCCCGTTGCGGGTCCCTTTGTGGACCCTTCCTCGCACGGCGCCGGGTTTGCCTCCGAGTTGAGGGCTTTGGTCGAAGGACTGTCGGGGCAATTGCGTCCCTGGCAGGCCGGGTAGATCAGACGCAGTCGGAGCGAGCTGTCTCCACTGTGTCCCTTCGGTGGGCAAGCAGGAAGAAACACGAAAGCATGTTTGCATTCAAACACGTCTCTTCCGGGTAACCCCCGTTCCCAGCCGCGGCTCTCCCACTATTTTGGGGGGGAGGCCGAGGCTCAGGCTAATTGCACCGGGCCTCCTCTGGAGCCTCGGGCACTGAATGCCAACGGGGTGCTGGCAGCCAAGCCTCCGATCTCTGGGCAGGGCTTTCAGGGCAGGGCACACGTTGACCCCCCCTACTTTCAGCCAGCTAGGGTTCGTCACGCGGTAACGGTACAACGGTAACGAATTTACCCTTGTCTCCGCTGTGGGTTTTGACTCCCTTCTTACCGACCCACGGGCGTCCCCAGAGGGAACCGACCCTGTCATGAGACGCACAGTCGAACACGCTCCCTCTCACATATTTAAAGTGAAACAGGACGCAGTTCGCTCGCGTCGGATACAGCCGGTACTCCGGGCGGTCCCTCAGAGTCTTCCATCTGTATGACTCGGTGAGCCACGCTTTTGGGGTGATGCGGAGTATCATCGATCCCAGTGATACGATGTAGATACCCCCACCCTTGATCCTAAGGCGACCACCTAAGGTTGCTTCAACGCTTATGGGATCACGGGCGTCGGGATCCAAAGCAACCCCGTTGGCACGTCTCCCCCTGTCCGTCTGAGTGCGGAGTGGGGCGCAGAGCACGCAAACGGTGTTGATGGGCGGCGTTGGTCAGCCGCGGAGGATGTAATGCTTAAGGCCCCCGGGTGGGGATAACATTAGGCAACACTTCCCGCTGGACCAAACGCTACCCGGTCAGTGTGGTTT